TTTAGACCTGTAGAAAATTCAGCACATATACGTATCGTACCGTTGGCCTTCCTAATAACAACTATAGCTGCTACCCAAGTAAAGTAAGAAATGGGAGTAATAAACCCTTGTTGTTGAAGGCGATTCAATTCTTCGTCTACTGTTGCTGATGTTGCATAAGTTAAGGGTCTCTTTGGACGGAAAGCAGGCTTAGCCCCAGGTTTCAACCGAAGTGTTGCTTTCATGGCAGTGCACCGACCTAATCCAGGTTGAAAAATGGTTGAAAACTCCATCACCAGATTTCTCGTATACTTCAGGGTCATGTGGTTGTGATACCAGGTGGTATATGGTATTTAACGGGACATCAGACAATTTTAGCTGGTCGAACCAATCTAAACCAAATAAATTTAGATCAGTTGGCGTTATATAACATACCCCAGTAAATGACGAGTCTCGGAAGACAACTTTATATTCCAGTTGTCCTAACAGACGAAGGTAATTGCTACATGCCGTACGAGGCTTCTGTGTTGTGTGCTGCAGGCTTGGGCTACCCAATTTGGACCAATTTTCGCGTGAGAGGATGGTGACATCAGATGCGGTATCTATTTGCAATCTACACAAATGCCCGTTAATATTAAGAGTAATAAATTTCTCTCACCTGGTGATGAGCTTTGACAGGAAGATATTAAGCTCAATGAATTGGTACCGGATCTAGGAACAGACTTCTTGGTATTTCTGGATCAGTTCGGTTTTCTCCTTAGGCAAAAACCATCTTTTTGACCGATGACCTTACAGTTCCTGCATCGATGTTGCCTAAATGGGCAGTGACATGAGCCGCAGTGCCAGCTAGCAGCAGGGGGATTCATTTTTGACTTTTGGGCAGAGCTGGAGTGGGATGAACTGGGTGTAACATGAGACGAGTTTTCGCCAAAGTGTTATCTCAATGCCTGAACTGTCCCAGAAAATGAACGATCTCGTGCGTTAAAAGTCAGGATCCAACTGCAGTACTTGTCCAGCTCACTAGCAACCAACTTTCGAAGTAGCAGTCGAACCCCCCAAGCATCATCTTGATTGGTGAAATCAAATTTAAGTAAGTCTTAGTAACGCCGGGACCACATGTCAGAAGTAACCTTGGCATCAAGATCATAATGAAATTCAGCTATGCTATCTGCGATGCTGTCGACCGATGGAGATGTTGTTGCATTAGATGAGCTGGGCTGTGTGTAAGTCGAAATCTTTATATCTGTCAACATCTGCATCAGTTTCAGCTGCTGTACAAGTAACAATTCAAATTTCGCAGGATCCATGTTTACAAAACTACCGTCGCTAAGTGTTAGGTTGGTCAGTAAGTACGCTTGAAGGTATTACGAATTCACCTTAGTCGATAAACGCAAACGAGACAAATACCAGCAACCAGGTAGGCTGCCTTAATCAAAAAACTACAAAAGAGAAGTCTTTATAAGCGTATAAAGTATAAATCTTGTTATGCTGGTGTAATAATTTTATGCATTGGTGCTTTTGGTTATCCGACTAACAAGTCTTGTCATTTCAACGGGATCGATGCACTATGACCAGAATTATCTGGAGGTGGTAGTGATTCCGCTTTCGCAAACAGATCGCTGTTGATTTATTAGAAAAGTACATTATTCTAACGGATTTTACTAGTGATTGCGTAACTGTTATTTTTCTTTTGATCATTCGTCACGAGCGAGCCTTATATTTGTGTTGCTGCCATCTTTGCTCCATCATCTTTGTAATTTCGCCTCAATGTTCTTTCTGTATTACGGTATTTTTAGATACCTCGAAATCGACAGCAAATATATTCTTTACCATGGATTTATTTATCGTTCTAATGACTTGCTCGTAATTAGTATTTAGCGGTGATCATAGTCAATCCCGACCCGATCAATACTAAAATTGTTGAGCTGACATTTTATCCGAAAAATTAAATTACGATGAGTCTATTATTCATCTGTTGCCATTTTTTATCATGTTGGTATCCTATTGTTTGTGTCCTTTAATATATATTGTACTTGTAACAACGTTTCGGGTCGGTGGATAGCTATAATAAGAGACCTCGAGGTGCAGGTCATTGCATTTTCACCTGTCGCCTATCCGTCACCTCATGTTGCTCGTTTATTTTGCGTGCACGAATTTTCCACTAACGGTAGGTACTTGGTGGACACAGGTGCCTAAGCTTCTGTCCTATCGTCTGGTAGCAGCAAGTCTCATGCTACGGTGCTTCGACCACACGCTGTGTTCATCTGTGCTGATGTCCCTGTAGCCGTACTCAGTATCGATTCCCTACAGCTCTACGAATTGCTACTCGATTCACGTAGGCTGCATTTGATCGATACTTCGTTGAATATTAAATCCAAGGGTTTTAACGCTCCAACAGATGTGTACTGAATCGGTGGTGTATTTTTTACATGATCATTTATTTCATGTCATATTCGATAAATTCCTCAAAGTAACTAAACCGTGGAGATTCAACCGGTGATTAATTATGTGGTAAGCCACATCGTCACCTGCAGAACCTCAGCCACGGCAAAACCTCTCCGACTAGCACCTGAAAAATTAGTTTTCGTTAAGCGTTAGTTTTACAGTTTGCTTGCTATATGTATTACTTTGTCCTCCTCACGGTCCTTGGACCTTCTCTATCCATTCGGTTCGCCGAAAAGATGGTAGTGTTTGGAGACCATGCGGCGATTACAGAGCAGCAACGGTAGATATTCATTGTTCAGCCTCTGAACTTGCATACGGCACAACATTGCATCTGCCTGGGGAATTTTTCACACCATGGAGCAGCGATTTTATGTATATTCGATAACGTCCAACGACTGTCTGCGTACATGCAAACACTGCCTCTGATGTCAACTCGAATAAAGCATCGACAGTCTCTCTCACTCGAGAGTTGTTTATCTCTCCTTATGTTTTCATACGAGTAGATTTGATACCCACGCTAGATACATCAGAGACCTTCGTCCTCACGTCCCAGTCAACAGCACGCGTCATCCGCACCATCTACGGCTGAGACTCCGGTCTGGCGTCAACATTGGCAGACCACGCCGCACTTGACTTCGGATGAGATTGCAGGCTCATGTGACTACCGTCTCACGTTCCAGTCGCCAAGCACACCCGTACGCTTTCGCGACTGACCATCCGATCAACAACGGATAAGGTATAGGACTTTATTCTGATGCTACATGCATGCTACACCAATCTCTTTTTCTTTTATTTTTTTATGCTGAACCCACGTCGACGATCATCTCCATGTTGGTACCGTAAACTTCAGCCAGTCTTGGCGAAGGCTGACCTGATCACCCACGCACCTGTCCATGAACTCAGTCGATGTTCTGGTTCTGAATATTTCTGGCATACGCATGGTTACGAACTTGGTCGTTTCTCGTTCCTTCGCACAATGTGGTTCGGTCCGAAGTCTGCAGCCTTTTCTGGTCCGGACCGCTACGAACGCAATCTTTAGACTCTGGATACGAGCCACGCTGGTGTGGTACGCTAACCCGAACAACAAAAATGGCACGTTACTGCCGGTACCATTCTCCGTGAAAGACTTTAGGTGACAACTCGAGGATCATGGATCGCATCCGGTTTGTCAACAATCGCACGTCCTGCCGATCAGTCCACTAGGTATCAAAAGTGGGAGGCTGCTGTAGTGAATCCACTTTTATCAAGAGAACACGAATGATTTAACAGAAACGTTCATTATTATAACCAACTGTACCAGTGATTGTTAAACTGTACTTTTTCTTTATAACACTCTTTACGCGCAAACTTTCTGTTTGTATCGTTGCTCAATCATTTTTGAAACTTCGCCTAAATTTTCTTGCAGTACATTTTGATACCTCGACATCGACAGCAAATACATTATTTATCATGGATTTATTTGTCGTCCCATTGACCGGTTCGTAATTAGTATTTCGTGGTGATCATAGTCAATCTCGACTCGATCAAAACTAAAAGCGTCCAATAATATGTAGAGTCCATGTTAGATAACTTTTGCAATCGGCTACTTCCTATTACCTGCCTACACACATGCTGCACACTACTTATTTACATACTTGCTTATTTACTTGTTTACTTGCTTATAATACATGCATATATGAAAATGACGTGAGTTCACATACGATTGGTTGTACATGACAGATAAACTAACTGATTGCCTGGTTTTCTACCATGGTTGACATGTTTTTGATTTTTTCTTAAACACGAACAAGTTGTTGTTTAGACAGTCGGTTGGATAAAAAATCTGTATATGATGATATTTTCTGAGAATATTTTCGTCGTATTTCGCGGCTTAGATCATTAAATCAAAGTGACTACTTTGACTGAGCAATTACTTATTCGAAAATATATGAAGGAGGTCCCGGATGTGTCGATATTATAGTAAACTACTGTACTAAATGGAAAAGTTGGTAATTTGGCATTGTTGGTAAAAGCTGAAACAGCTCGAAGATATTTTACTCAGCCGATCATCTTGAATACAAAATTCGACTGTGTGTTATCCAAGGTGATTTCGTTTTACTTTTGATTGTATTTCGTTGAAAAAGCTAGATTACTGAGTGAAACGTTCGATTTACTTATAGTTTAATCGCTGAGACTTTTACAGATATATATTGTTTTATGATAGCATTAATTATCACCAATCAGAGTTCATCTCTTCTATTTTTTCGTATTAGCTAAATTAATTATCGATAACCTGGTTATACTCCTATTGATTGAAACGTATTTTGTTTAAACAGCCACCTATCGTTTTTACCTTTGACAGCTTTGCAACTGATTGTTTCTGTCGTTTCACCTAGAATATAAGCCTCAATTTAGGTATGATTCATTTTAGAACTACATATATTATTTATATATCAATGCTTTCAAGTATACAATATAATTTTCTGCTTAAATAGATCTCAGGTACGTTTTTCAAGTGGACTCAGCTAATATTCTAGACAAACTGGTATATATATACGATTTTGTAGAGTGACAAATGAACTCATCTAAAAAAGAAATTCTAACACTGAAAAAATAATTATTATATAAATTGGAATAGTTTGTTTAAATTAATATATACATACACGTTTTTTTATCCACTTTCAAGAAGAAGAAAAGCTAAAATGTCAACAATCAATCATTGTTCAATAAAGATGATAATTTGCAGATTTACAATAGATGTCTGTAGAAAATACTGTTCTTGTTTAAAGGAGAAGTTCTAGGATTATTTCACCTTTTAAGCGTAAATATTGATTTGGCATGCTTTTGTTGTTTGATTTCTTATACCAAACATTTACATCCTTTTGTTTTCTGATTTTCAAATCGATTTAAATGATTTTAAAACTTTCGAAGAAAAGTGATATTAATTCATGAATTTCTTCATTCAATAAAAATTATTAATCATAGATACTCTCGAAATAGGAATGTTTTAATGCTTGATCAGCTGATATTCGATCTGCTGGATTACACACCACAAGTTGCTGATTTATGAAAGAATGAAATGAGCATTTTTAAACATAATTTGAAATTTAATACGAGACAAAAAAGTAATATTTATTTTGATAATTGATAGAGAACCACTTGTTTCAACTAAGTTTATGACTAACAACATAAACAAATTCATACGAGTTTTAAACGTATCACATTCACAGTCTTAAATGCAACTAGAAGGTTATCTAGTCGTCTTGGTCAGAAACATCAATCCGTTTTAAATCCAACTACAATTGTGATATTATAGTACAGTTATCAAAACATTTTCAAATGTTATAGGTTAACACAGAATAATTTATCGTCAACAATTTACACATATCTCTCCTACACAAATGTATTGCGGAATTAGAATAAACATTTTAAAGAATAAAGGTGTTTTCATATTAGTATACATATATTTCCTGGGTGGCCTGTTTGAATATTTGGTTCATATGCTTCCTAATATTAAAATATTTCAACAAGTTACCTCTTCTCATTTATTTTAATACGTCAGTTGTCTATTAATTACAATCTGTTCAAGCACACATATTAAAAATTTTACAATATATCACTTTACAAGGTACAAAAAAGTACAGTATGAGACATCGCAGTGGCTGATCCTCTTCTGAGAGAAGAATGGACGTTAATAGGATGTCAATTCTTGAACTGTTTACTTCGAACTGCCTATCGCTAATTATTTTGTAAATGAAACTTACCGTGACCAGAATTTCATATTTTACCAGGCATATTATACTGAATAAAGCTGTTATCATTATTATTATTATTATTGTTACTTGATTGTAAGAAGTGGTTATACTGAATTTTATTTTCGATTAGAATCAAGTAAATGCTAAAATGTCCTTAGCTACCAGACGAAATATCAATATTCATGTTCTCGACCAACGTACTAAGAGTCCCCGTTAACTTCATACTCCTACATAGTTTCAATGATTCCAACGAAAACGTTTTTTTTTCATTTTTTTGTTGTTGGACAAATTCATATATATATATCATTCCACCCATTTTCTATTGTAAACTAATGTTTGCTTGTGAAACAATTATTCCATACGATCAAGATCCGAATATTGTCTTAAAATGTTCCTGTGCCTTAGCATGATGCAAAATATTAGAATAAGAGGTGGTTATATGTTTTTTTGTTCATTATTGGGTTGAGGATAACAGTGGAGCTCATGAAGCGTGTTCTGTCTAATTTGAGATTCGTGAATATTATTGATAAGTCAGTACAAACCCTTACGAATAACTGTATACCCAATGAACAAGCTAGTGGTTATGTGGATTCAACTCGTTTTTTAAACTTTTAACAGGGTTTTTTAAAATAACCAAACAAATTTTTTAAAATAACCACAGCGTTTTTTAAAATTTTTTGTAATCCTTAGAATGTCAGAAATAAATAGAAAAAACAACTTGATTTCGAATGAAAAAAGAAAAAGCCTTATAAAAAAAGTTATTGAAGATGGATACAGCGTCAAGGATGCGGCATTTCTTCGCCAGAGATCTTCTTACAATGGATTCAAGAGAAAGGCCTATAGAAAATATGTTTTCTATTTTTTCTCGAATTTCTACCATCGTTATTAACGGGTTTACTTCTATCAATTCTTCAACAAAATTGATAATATCACCGCATACCTTCTTATTTGATGGTTTTCAATGGTTGGTTGGTTTTCTCAACTCGCGATTCCTTTTTATACAACCTTATAATATTTGTAGCGGCCTGATAGTTTACATCTGTAAGAAATGCCGCATCCTTGACGCTGTATCCATCTTCAATAACTTTTTTTATAAGGCTTTTTCTTTTTTCATTCGAAATCAAGTTGTTTTTTCTATTTATTTCTGACATTCTAAGGATTACAAAAAATTTTAAAAAACGCTGTGGTTATTTTAAAAAATTTGTTTGGTTATTTTAAAAAACCCTGTTAAAAGTTTAAAAAACGAGTTGAAATACTATATATATATATATATATATATGTAGAACAGAATAAAAATAAACCACTTTTTTCACCTACTTGTAATAAATCACGACCACGAAGTGACATTTTTGGGACCACTTGATGCCAATTCATTGTACGAGGATGCATTACAGTAAATGGCTAACAAATGAATTAAATTGATAAATAGTAAATTTATAATTAATGACAAAAATTTATTTGTTCTAATAACATAATAAACTGGAATAAATTGATTAACTAATCAATGCTAAAATAAATTAAATGCTTGTATAAAATTGAAAGGTTACCATATAAAAATATTATTAAAATAAAAATTCATTAAAATTCATTATTATTTCATGTAATTTTAAAATAAATCTTTATAGTAATTGAAATATTCTGCATAGAACTATGCATACATTATTATTATCATCATCATTATACAGTTTGTTGATATTTGAACTATGCACGAGATCAAACTATTCTTTTCATTTCAATAATAAATAAATAAAAAAATGATAATTTTCCGAAATAGTTGATTCAATCTTTTTTAAAAAAAAACACTAAGATTGTGAAAAGTCTACTGAATCTAATAAAATTGATTATGATTATTATGTGTAGAAATTCTTTCCAAAAAATTCATATCAAATAGCCTGTTTTGTATAAGGGATTTTTTACTACCAGAAAGTAAATGTACCACCTTTCATTGATTAGAACAAGAAAACAAGTTAACCAGTGTTAACTCGAATTTCATAGACAATTCACTTTGATCATTACAATCAATTTATCTCTTAAATTACTTATTACTTACTTACTTACATTCATCACGTATGAAACTGCAGCATTGTTAGGTAACATCACTATATTATATATATATATATATATATATATATATATATATATATATATATATGGAGAGAGAGAGAGAGAATCGTGATGAAGATCTAATCAAAATTTTCTTTCGCTTGATTTGTTTCTTTAGAGGATGGAATTCAGTTGGCAGTTTTCCATATCCTCCACTTGCTATTAAAACTATTATAACAATGAAACACAATTTTTAAGGTGTAAACCATGTTTAGCATGCTTTATTAACCAGTTAATTAGTAAATTGAGTTCTCTTGCTAAATGTAGACAATGTAAGATAGAATGAATGCATAGTATTTTGTTCAATACGATTCAACTACAAATAAACTAATAAATTTTAGTTAGTTTGGAATTCATGAAAGAAGACAACAACAAATGGAACGAATAAATATTTCAATCTAACTGAAAAGAAATATTTATTCAATCTATTTTTGTTTTTGTTTTTTTTGTTTTCAATAACGAAATAAGAATCTTTTTACATAAATGATCAAGAAATGGTTTCTAAGGCGAAAGTGTACATATATTTTAAAGTGTTAGGGGAGTTTAAGTAAACAATTAAACTGATAATTCTGTAATAATGGTAATAACTTTGCAACATTTTAAGATAAAGATTGTTTCCAAGAAAATAGAACTTTCAAATTAAGTTTAATGAACTGTAATAGCAATAAAAATAAAAAAAACAGAAGTTATTACAATGTGTTGCCTTCTGTTGCAAAGCATTCACCTTTTTTCTAAATACAAAATTTGATAAGAGTATAATATACTGACGGGCATAAGCGGCCTACCAGCCAATCAGTAAAAACAGCCTAGTTACAAAACAATCAACAGCTAAAAACCATAAAATATCTGTGAAATTATAGATTTGATCTGACTAACCAACTCTCACATTTCAAACTGTTTCTTGTGGTCGAAGAAAAAGTTTAGGTTCACTAATTAAAATTCCGGTTAGTGTTATGAGTTAGGTTTATCACGTCACAGAGTTGTCATCACCAACTATTATCAGCTATTATACAAAAAAGTTTGGGTTAGGTTTTAAAAGTTAGGCTACAGTCCTAAGTTAGGATTTTCATATTAGGGTTACGGTTTTCATCAGGAAACGACATCAGCTATGGTGCAATGCTGTATCATTCAATTGTTTACAAACTTGAAAAAGATTTATAGTTGGAATTTAGAGTAAGTGTTAGAGAGGGAGGATAATATCTAGCATCACTAAATACTCTTGACAATGCGTTGAATAACAACAGGTGGTTTAATACACAATTTGTCTTGAGGATAGTTCTGATTTGTAAATCGTGTTTCAAAACATGAAGTGACAAGTCGGTGGATAATATACGTAGACTATCTATGTATTTGGTCTGCTTTTAGAGAAATGTATACTAAGTTTAAATTTTGCAATTTTATTTTATTAAAGATAGAACAAGATCAGTATTTAGTTAAAGTTTCAGTCAAAATGCTGTGTCTGTGTATAAATATTGATTTTTCATTATCCCATATTCAATATTTACTTGTACTTTATGTTTAATATCTTACAGTAACTCTGCACCAATTTAATAGTTCCAATGAGTAAGTTAGATTATAGTTGAATAAGAATATATGCACCTGCGCTATTGCAAACGGTTTTGAGCCATGTCACTCAGGGTCTCTAACCATTGATAATAATAACCTTCTGAATTCCCCATCACCTCTATTTTTCTCCTTCTAAATTTACCTCACTGAATTACACTTCTTGAATAACATCTTCGAAGCCTAATCTCTCCTATTACTTCTAATACTTTTACTACCTCTACTACTATGGGATTTTAATTGACAATTATATCTCTGTGCTAATGTGGTATGGCAACCTGAACTAATGTACTTACGTGCAAAGTTCTACGTTGTTATTGATGATGAAGAAGAATATATTTTGATAAAGTAAAATGAGCTATTTTAACAAATCATGTATTATTACTTACTTCATAGTCGGGTAGTTCAACAACAGATGGCCATGTTGATTCAGTCGGAGTTCCTAATAATCTGATTAAATAAAAATAATATAAATAAAAATCATGAACTGTGAATGGGGCAAATAGAAATGTGAGAAAACACGACGAGGTCACATGTTTGGACCTCATTACATATACTTCGCGGTTTAGGCTGATGCACAGTATCACAAGTCATCAGAAAGACTATATGATTTCCTGTTCAAAGATGATCCGCTTATGTTTTTACTTTTCAAATAATATCAACAACTGAGCGATGAAGAATTGATAACTTTGACATACACAATGGTATAAAGTAACTACGTAAAAAGTCAATTTGGTAATTACTGTAATATTTCTAAAGAAGTTACTATCTATAATTCAAATAATAGTTAGAAACGATATTTTCTTCACCTAACACTTCATTCTGTTTTTTCTGACTGAACTGTTGAATACACTTGTTCTATAAATGAGAATGAACAAATCCAACCTATTAAAAATCCTTTATAGTTGATGGTTGAAAATGTATTGATTTTCATCATGGTTTATCTAAGAATGATCTTTTTCAACGATAATATTTTTATCCATTAATATGATAATTTGAATTAGGAAAACCATTACAGCAAACCTTCATTTTAATAATAAGCACCAAAAAAAAAACATATTGATTTATTACGTAATAATTGGTTGTTTTAAACTATTCTTTTTATACTCCATTCCAAGAATCAAATGAAAATTTGAAATTAATTTTACACTTCAATAACTTCGGAAACGAATGAAATTTATTAAAATATGAAACCAAATCATAATTTCATTTCTCTATTCTCACTTGAAAATTCTTTGCAATTGATCATCAACATCATAACCAGGAAAAAGTGGTCTGCCAGCATTGGACATTTCAGCAAAAATACAACCAGCTGACCACATATCAATTGAAGTTGTATATAATTTAGCTCCAAGAAGAACATCTGGTGGTCGATACCAAAGTGTGACAACCTAAGAAAAATAAAACCAAAAAAATTATCCAATTTTTAGGGAAATAAGATATTTTTTGATAGTAAAAAGTGAAATGCATTTATTTTAGATATTTCAGTGTCATCCCAAAAACATTTGAATTAAATAGTGAGACCATGAAAAAAAAACGATAATAGCAAATTATAATGATAACAATAATCCTACTACTACTACTAACAATAACAATGTCAAAGCCAGACGATAGTAATTTAGATTATGGGTTCATGTTTCCATACTACACAACTCTTATCTAAACACTAGAAATCATGATCTATCATCGAAGAACTATTCGTTTGTTAAAACAAGAAAGTGATCAACTACCTATTCAGTTGATGAATTCACTTACTTAATCAAGAGTTTATATCCACAAAGTTAATTCGAAAAACTTCGAGTTGGAAATTGAGTAATAAACAGAAACTGTTCATAAAAACACAATGAAATCATAAAAATTTATTCAGAATTATTTTGTGTTAAAAGACTTTCTTAAGATAAGAAAACAGGTAAACTAAAAATTTCAGAAAAAATAATAATAATAACTGTTGAATTTTAGTTATATCTTAGTCTACGAACAAATTTTCTGCAACAATTACAACACATGAAATTATTTAAAAGCAATAAGATAAGTGACAGTAAAATAACCTCAAAGTATTCGAGAATAAAATACTCCTAAATCAAAGCTTAATTAATGAAAAAGGATAAGAAAGTTAAATAGAAAATTAAATGTCCAAGAATTAACTAGTCTAAGATAAGCTGCTTTAGGGAAAAAATAAAAATTAACTTTCATGACTCATTTTCGTTAGGGGAAGAATAGGACACGAAAGAAATCACTAAAATAAACGAGGATAACGGTCTTGGCAAGCTTGAAAACAAACACATTAATTTTAGATGTATATGAAGCAAAAGTGTGACGAAGTATGATAAGGAAATACAATCCGTAAGTGTTAAATGTAATTACTTATTAGCCAATGAATGCAGAGGAAGTCCACCGGGAGCTACTCTATAGTTACTGGAGGTCCCAAGCCGAAGTGAAAGGAGAGAGTTGAGCGTAAAGTTAACTACTCTACCTCATAGAAAAGAACATTAGCAATAAACGCGAACCAAAAAAAGCAATTAAAGTTTGCCCTAAGAATGGAAGGGTTTTCATTTACAATAATTATGACGCTTTATGGTGAAAGCCAAGATTCTTCGGAAATCACGAGGACAATGCCCCTTTCACAACCGGAGCAACAATTAATAATAGAACGTTTAGACAATGTGGAAGACCAGGAGGACCATTTAATTAGCCTTTGAAATTGAATTCTTGTCAGGAAGAAGAAAATCCCTGACAAATAAAGGAGTTTTATTGATGCTCCCCAAATAATCACGAAAAGCACGTATAGGATGGAGATCTCATAGACTGGGGATTGTCAAAACATCCTTTAAAACAAAGAAGAAATGAAACAGTGAATGCATCCAGTGCTACGCCGTGAAGATGATAACGATCAGCTTTATGGAAGATTACAGTCGATCATAGAAAGCGGCTCAAAAAAGTATCTGACAATCCTGGAGAGAGACCTACGTAACAAGGTAGCAATGGGCTACATCGAGTAACCAGACATAGTAGGACGACATGGACTAGGAGAAAGAAACGAGAACGAAGAGAGACTGACAAGCCTATGTGCTTTCAACATGGTTATAGGTGGCACTTTGCTCCCCCCACAAATGGATACACAAAGTTAAATCAGTCCCGCCGAACCGCACTACAGAAAAACAGATCGATTACATTTGCATCAGTAAAAAATTCACAATATCCGCGGAAGAGGTTAGAGCAAAGAGAGTAGTTGATACAGTTCCACATCACAACCTAGGCTTGACCAAGCTGAAACTAAAGTTAAAGAAACATTGGAAGATTGGAAAAGCAACATTAAAATAGTAGATTATAGCCTTATTTCAAGATGCTAACATAATCAAAGAGTTCAAAATAATCCTCAACAGCAAGTCCTAAGTAGCGGAATCTTCAACACTATGGAATGAGATCAGCATTATCATACGAAACTCCTAAGAGGGACTAGACTGCTAAGGCACGTATGTAAAGTGGCTCATAGATGCATTTCCGGTGAAGATTGGTGCTGGAAAAGGCTCCTAAGACCAGACCAATTTACAGGAAAGCTGAAGTGGAAACCAAGAGATTTGATGAGTTATTTTGAGCCTTTGGAGTGCAAAATAATGATCAATAGCTGTTTTCACCTACATCCATCTCGACACTTCGGTAGAGTGATGGAATTTTGCATTTACCTTATTGAAGATGGTTTTGTCCATCTAGACGGCCAGATACATGACAAGATTAAACTCAAAACACAGAGGATGCATAACCACCTTATCCATATGGTTCAGAAAAGGCATATACTATACTAAAGTATACAGTGTAAATGTGGTTGGTTTGGTTGTGTCATTTATAGTTCGTATTTAGACACTCTTCTCTTAAGAGTACGACCAATTCCTCATAGGAAATACCGTATAGATAAAATGTATTTTTAGGAAATGGTAAAGAAGTTGCTGCTATTTGGAGAAATGTAACTGTCACCGTTTATCTTTACGTACCAAGTAATATGTAGTTCTTCGGCCGGATACTCTATGAAATATCTCATGGAAAATAAAACTAGAAGTAACGTCTTAGATAATTAAAACTTATTTTTGCAGAGACTTACCATAAACCTGTAACACGGCCACAGTTGCACTACTTTTACATCGAGTTGTAGTATTCAAACCAACCTATGAAATATATTTTAGTGTTCAAATAAACTGTGAATTAAGAAGCTAACTAGCTATATGTAGTGATGCAACTATACAAAATACCTAAATAAGTCCGCTATCAAATAGAAAACGTCTAGATTTTATTGTTTTTATGGGGAAACAGCGATGACTAGATAACGCTATGTCGAAAACCGGAAACGAAATCATGACGTAAAGTACGTTCCTAAGATTTACTTCCAAAAGTCAGAATTATGAGTAAGACACGGTAATATTGTGATGGTAGCTTGATGTTAGAACCATCAATAAATATTTTTTTAAGTATAAAAACGAGCTCCCATTGAAATAAAACTAACTTCTGCTGAGTATTGTCGCACAGGTATTCCATATGCACGAGCCAGACCAAAATCAGCTAACTTTAACTCTCCATTATCATTAATCAGTAGATTTTGTGGCTTCAAGTCTCGGTGTAAAACATTGTGACTGTGACAAAACTGAAGACCACGTAGGAGTTGAAACATAAAAAGCTAGAAAATATAAAACACAAATATTTCAAAATATTTGTCGATTACTTTTTGAAGAAACACAAAAAACCTATTTATCACATGAATTTAATCTGCGGTTTATGATTATCATCTGGATTCAAACGTTTGGCCATACATCTTGACAAAATGCTTTAAGTTTTAATTGTGGAGTAGCCAAAACATAATCCAACAACATTTTATTGATGCATTTACAGAAAGCCTACTAAGATATCTAAGAAATAAAAGCCATAACATCTCCATCACAGTACCCACACAGTGGGAATATTCAAGGGGTACGTGTTCAAATCAGCAGATTTATGGTTTTCTGCTCTACATAATCTCATGCTAGCACTAGGTTAAGTTCCTAATTAGAAAATCTAATTTTTTCACTATATTCAGTCTATGCATCAGTACATTGCAACTTAGCAACTAAATACAGTCATATTGTATGCTAGCCTGAAGTACGTTTACTATGTAAAGACTAATAATATACCAGCTCCATGTGTCGATAGATGAACTGATCTTGAAAACACTAAAACTAAAAGTGAAAACCATGAATTCTCGTGGATTTAAAATTATGATACATTAAGTAGGTAGTGAATTGTTGAAACGGATGAACTACTGGTAAGATGACAGAAATCAATTGTGGGATTCAGGTGAGAAAATTATGAAGCACAAGAAGAAATACCGTTTTATAAGTTAATGGATTGTTTAATGAGGAAATAAACCCAGGATTAGGATCCTATGTATGAACTGAGATGAAAAACTGAAAGATTAATTTTTTGATCTCTTATCTAGATAAGAAAATAAAAAACGTAATAGTTCTTCATGAGAACAAGGCTATACTTTCGGAGGTTTCTGTTTTGGTTTATCCGAAAAAATAAATTGAACAATGATTACTACCAAGTACTACCGGAAAATTCCATTTCTCCTTTTAACTGCATATCCTAGACCACGTCACGTATTTGGGGAGTCTCATCAGTGCTGATGGTCTGGTGACTGACGAAATCTCAGCACGGATACAGAAAGCTCGATTGGCTTTTGCCAACCTGCGTCACTTATGGCGCAGGCGAGATATCCGTTTGCTCACTGAAGGACGAGTGTGTTGTTCAGTAGTTTGCTCCGTCCTACTATACGGATGAGAAACATGGCCGGCGAGAGTAGAGGACATTCGTAGATTGCTTGTCTTCGATCATCGATGTCTCCGAAGCATTGCTCGTGTATCCTGGGACAACCGAGTAAGCAATGCTGTCGTTAGGAAACCAGTTCTAGGTAAGGATGGCAAATCAGTAGATGAAGCATTGAAACTTCATCAGTTGAGGTAGTTGGGACGTGTTACGTATGCCTAACCACCGACTGCCGCGACGAGCTGTTTTGTGGTGTAAGAGTAGGTTGGAAGAAAGTTAGGGGCGGCCAGACCAAAACATGGCACAAATCCATGAAGTCACTGACAAATGGACTGAGTCATGTTGGTAGATGTAGGCTATCTGGTTGGGGTCCGCGAGACGAAAGTCACCAATGGTTAGAGACCTTGAACGACATGGCTCAGAATCGTTTGCAATGGCGCAGGCGCATCTACTCTTTGTGTTCTCTCTAATTCTAACCTTCTGAATTCCTCATAATCTCTATCTTTCTCCTTCTAAATTTATCTCATTGAATTGTACTTTTCGAATAATATCTTCGCCCCCTAATCTTCTCCATTACTGCTAATACTTCTACTATCGCTATCACTCTTGGATTTGAACTGACAGTTGCGTCTCTGTGCTGATGTGGTTTGGCAACCTGAACTGATGTACTTGTGTACGAAGTTCTGCATTGTATCTGTCTATATCCTACTAGCTTTCCGGTTATTATATTTCTTTATTCTTTTCCTATGCTGTCTCCAGAAATTGAGATATAAAATAGTGGACTAACGTCCTAATGTGTTCTTTTGGTGAAGTTACCATCGAAACTGGCACATAATGTATGGTGGTCATTCAGATGGAAGACTCTGTCTTCATTCAGAGAGCTGAATCATATGTTCGCTAAAAAAACTTTAAACTAGTGCTTAAACAATCGAAAAATTAAATATACACTAACTTAGTTGATACCTTTACAGTATTCTGATCTATTTCACCATTACAACTGTCGAAGTATTTCTTCAAATCCTGATCACAGTATTCAAATACAATTGTTAACCTTGACTCGCTTAGCAAGACATCAAAGAGTCTATAAATTTCATTATTTAGTAAACTAAATGAGAAAACACCTGACAATGTTTTTATGTTTGAGTTCTTTTAAGAGACATATTTCCCGAAAAGCTGAACTAGGAATACCTTCATCGTCGTTTTCTAGTCGAACTCGTTTAAGTGCAACAATTTCATGCGTTTCTCGATTTCGTGCTTTATAAACTTTACCATACGTACCTAAAGGGTAACACAGACATCTAGATGAAAAAGTAGTATTTAAAATACCTTCTCCAATTTTCTCCAGCTTTTCATACTTCAAAACAACTTGGTTTGTCATCAGTTGATGGATATCATAGGACCAATGCTAAGAGGTGATCTGAATAGTTAGCTCATCAAACAACCAAGATGAAAAATAGTCCTGTAATAGGTCAATACAAGTAATCTTCAAAGAGACGCTGTAAGTAGAAACCTTAAATTTTCCATACTACATAGATCACTGAATTCTACACAAATATTAAAAAGAACAAAGAATATTAGAGCGAATGATTGTTCCTAATAACTTCATCTTTAGGATCTACGGTTATAAGTTCGGAATTACTGTATTAGGATGACAAATTTAGGGCACAGACAATTTCGCATTTTAAAAGTGAATTTTCGCATTAGTTATTGCTTAAGTACGTCCAAAATGTATTATTTACTTCCTCTTTCTTAAATGACCTTTTTAATTTGAAAATAAGATATTGTGAACGTGTTTAGATCAGAATCGATATAAAGTTCTTTATCTTCGCACAACACTTTAACTTATTGATCTAAGCTTTATTTCAGCTATTATAATTGAATAATTATGTATTCATAGTCATAAGGCTTAGTATTGTTGATAGTAATCGCCTGTTCTAAGATTCTTTGTTGCACGGGTCCACAGTGAATAATAGTTGAAAGCATTCTAACGTCGAAACGCCCACCTGAAGTTATGGATCCCATCCAATTGATGTATGGTATCTTGAAATCCCTAACAATGGGACAATAATCAGCTTTACTCCAAGTACAGATATGAATTAGAATAAAATCGTCAGCAAGACAAGATGGATTACAGTATATCCCTCTCATGGTCACTAGGCCATGTTTAGACTAAATTATACAACAAGCAACCTCACATGTACCACTGTCATACGCTTCTGATGTGCTCGATTGTACACTTAAGTTACCTCCAAGATAAACAAGTTACGCCTTATCCCTCGTGATTTATAACTCCGTCACTTCTAATATAGGTGTATCCCTCAACGATAGGGGAACATCCACAATGAGCCACGTTTCTGTGGCAACGATTACACTTAAAGTGTTCTGGGGACCACTAGTTCTACTCAAACAGGCATCGCAAGCATTCCATTCCGAAAACTGACTACCCGAAAGCTCTGGACCTTTAGATTTGTTTTGCTATTCTGTTCTCCAGCTTTAAACTCGTTAAGAATATTCTTCCGTTTAAACTGATCTTCAAGTGACCTATTAGGCCGGATACAAATGTTCAAATAACGAGTTTCATGTGCATTACTTATTATACAGTCTTTTTCCTTGTAACTTCTGAATACTAGATTCAAGAACCGATTCGGGCAGCTATCGCGTTTAATACAAATACCGAGTCCTAAGACCATTTCCAGAAGTATATTTCTGGTAGCAGATTTCACTAGCCCCAAATCATGTACATGTCATTTAACAGGGTCAATTTCTTTTGATCCCTTTAAATTCCATGTAATTAAGTTGGGAACCGATTTAACTCAGAAACGTTTTACGAAATCAAAGTTGTTGTGAAATGAATTGAGGAGGCTAGCACTTGACGAGGCTAGGTGTCGTATACCAAAGTATCAATGATACTGACAAATGAGTAAAACAGCAAAAGTAAGTGAGGTATTAATAAATTTCACTGAGACCGGTAAAAGCATAATATACTAATGGCAAGAGCTGCCTGTCAGTAAACACTTCCCAGCAACATAACTCACTCCGTGATGAACACTGTAACCGTAATATGAAAAATCTAACTTAGGACTGTAACCTAACTTTGAAAACACAACCCTAGCCTTTTTGTATCATAGTTGATGATAGTTTGTGATGAAAACTCAGTGAGGTGATAAACCCAACTCATAACACTAACCGGACTTTTAATAAGTGAACCTAAACCTTTTCTTTGATCACAAGGAACGGTTTGAAATGTGAGAGTTGGTTAGTCAGATCACAGCTATAATTTCACAGATATATTGTGGTTTCTGATGCAATTCTGCATCATTAAATTATTTAAGAACTTAGATAGACTTGTAGTTGGGACTTAGAGTACGAGTTAGAGAGAGAGGTTAATATACAGCTTAACTAAACGCACTTGACAGAGCAATGAATCACAGTAAGCACTCTGTCTTGAGAGCGGTTGTGCTCAGTAATTTGGCATGAATACCACCATAAAATTACTTCTCGGTTTCATAATAGGAATTTTCTGACTGAGAACTCAAAAATCTAATTTCAACGCCAATAATAAAAACATACAGGGTAAGTATTACTGGAATTTAAATTTCGCGAAATACATGAGACGTTATCTTGATTCTGACTGGTTGACTCAAGGTCGTCACTTTAATATACCTTTACATTGAAACTTTGCTTCCGACAAACGACGTGCAGAAATAATTATAATTACTAATGATTTTAGACAATATTACACGGTCAGTACAATATAGAATTCTCAGCACATGGTATCTCAGATAATTTCTCATGCAAAAATTACGATCGATTTCTGCAAGCATATGTACATGAAATAAACTCATGAACTGTCCACAATTAAATAAAGTGTTTTTCAATACAGTAAAATTTCGTACAACCTTTGGTAGGCGACATGTTTATATTACCCATTTGAGGTTTGATAATCTTGCTAAGTATTGTATTATAATGCTGTCGTACCGTTGCTTGCAAGCATGGATTCTTACGTAAGAGAAACTTGTTCCGTCAAAAGACATACTACAGAAAAGACATCAATGAAGCGCATATTTATTATCTGACAAGATCAGTCTTATCCGGATTATTCAAGATTTCATGTCTTTTTGCAACTTTACTCATAATGACATCTCAAGATTCGCCACGCACCCAGCCTACCTTGGGCGCTCTGCAGAACACAGAAGAATAATGGACAGTGAAAAACAAAAGGCAACAAATAAGAGCTAACAGGGGTAGGATTAAGTGCCAAGTCAAACCATAATTATGTAGCGTCCTTACATTATTGGTCAAATGGAAAAGTTTTTCTAGTATCATCATCAAGATCAGAAGACAACTCACGTCAAGATCAGTGAAAGTTGATGCTTTTTCTATTACAGAATCGCAAGTCGCATAACAGGGTGTTTGAGTGTTGTTCATCTCCTAGGCAGAAACTGATAGTTCGAAAATTAGGGGGATTATGTGTGGAAGCACTAAGGGCAGACCATCATTCAATAATCAATAGGAACTCGTTCATTTCTAGGGGATGATTGTGGTGTTTGAATGAACTAGTAACTTCTTGTTGTTGTGAAATGCTTGATTTCGAATTCTAAATACAATACATTCGTTTGTGCATATCTCAATTCTTGATACATATACTTCTAATTACTGCACTGGCGTCGCGATGGAACTTGTAATGGAACAGCTAGATATTCATTCTACTTCTGAAGCTTTTGAAGATTATTTGGAAAGGTTTGAAATCTGGAGTATGACCAGGAAAGATGTCAAAGATGATAAAATTGTGGCTCATTTCCTAACATTCATCGGAAAAGAAGCGTACAGCTTATTGAAAACCTTGGCATATCCAGAGAAACCTATTTCACTTCCCTATGCAATGCTAAAGGAGTTATTATTGAATCATGTAAAGTGCCCTGGTTTTGAATGCCGTGAAAGAGCGAAATTTCAAAAGATGATTCGTCAAAATGACCAAAATGTTAAGGAATTCATTCTTGAATTGCAGAAACAGGCTGTCAAATGTAATTTTGGTGATCAACTTCATGTGCAGCTGAGAGACCGATTAATTGCAGGAATTAACATACCTAGTTTGGAAAGAGAGCTGTTAAGAATGTCAAACTGTTCCTTTCAAGATGTTAGAACTGCGTGCATTAACTACGAGGCGTTGAATGAACTTGATATTCAGTCGATGAAGATTTCCAATACTTTGATTAGTTGTCATGATGAAAAACAATCTCAGGGTCAATCAAAATTGTGTTCGTTTAACAGAGGTTCCGATTCTCGTGTAAATTTGGACGGTGTCTCAAAAAAAAATTACAAAGGAAATCAAAAAGGTGAGACCAAGTTTGGCAAATGTTTATCATGTGGAAAACTTCATTCTCGTTATTATTGTACATTTCGTAATGCTAAATGTTTTAGATGTGGTAAGATAGGACACATTCAAGCAGTATGCAAAGCTACTGTTCATTTTGCCTCAAGTAGTACTAAAGCTTGTAATTTAGATTCCAATAATTCAGTTGATCCTAATGATCATTTATCTTTGTCTACCATTTCGAAAGGTAATGCTCATATTCAAAAGCGACTATATACATCGCTTGGTTCATTTCATGACTTTATTGTGGACACAGGCAGTATAGAGTCCATTATTTCACTCAAGAATTTGAAATCGTTAGATCCGAACGTTGTGATACGACCCACTGATGTATCAATATTGGGGATTACTGGACACAGACTGCCTATACGAGGATGTTGTGAATTGCTAATAAGAGATGATAATTCCTCATATATACCTTGTGAATTTTTAGTTAGTGAAACAGGACTGTCAATACTGGGTTTAAAGAATTTGAAAAGGCTTAAAAAGGAGTTGTCTTTCCTAGTTTCTAAAGAAAATTCTGATGCTTTACTTGAAGATTTGATAGCCACGTGTGCTAAGTGCAGTGGAGGTATGAAAATCCAGCCTATAAAACTTCAAGTACAGGGTGAACCAGTCTTTCTCAAAAGACGAATAATTCCTTACGGTCTTCGAGATGCAGTGCATAAGACTTTGAATGATTTGTGTACAAAAGGTGTAATTGAACCTGTTCAGTCTTCAGCATGGGGTACTCCTATTGTTACGCCACTGAAATCGGATGGCAAGACTCCTAGGATATGTGGTGACTATAGACTAACCTTGAACTTCAGTTTATTGAAGCAGACATGCACTACAGTAGAGGCTGAAGATATCCTAAATCGACTTCATGGTTCTAAAGTGTTCTCGAAAGTTGACCTAAAAGATGCTTATCTTCAAATCCCTTTAGATCAATCCTCATCTATTTTGACGACAATTAATACTCCTTTTGGTCTGTTTAAATACAATTTCCTTCCATTTGGGCTAAGTTGTTCTCCAGCCATATTCCAGGAAGTTATGAATAAGGTGGTTAGTGATCTTGAAGGTGTTGAAGTTTATCAAGATGATCTGATTGTTCATGGTGCTGATAAGGGAGCTCATGACCAGAGACTTATTGCTTTATTGCGTCCTTTAATTGAGAAGAATATTACAGTAAATCCAAATAAGTGTTCATTTGGTGTATCTAGTTTTGAATGTCTTGGATACCTAGTTGGTGGTAATGGTTTTAGACCAGATATGAAACGACTAGCTCCACTGACTAATGCACCGTCTCCAAAAAATCTTATGGAACTACGTTCACTAGTGGGTGCTCTTCAATACTATTCCCGTTTTATTCCTAATTTTTCTTGTCGTGCAAATTGTTTATTTAATATTTTGACATCCAATTCATTCAAATGGGGTGAGGAACAAGAGTCGTGCTTACGTAGTCTACTAAAGTTTCTTCAAAGTGATGCTGTTCTTCGAACTTACTCCCCTAGTGTACAGTCTGTGCTTATCACTGATGCATCACCTGTGGGTATTGGTGCAGTTTTGGAACAGGAATGTAGACCAGTTATTTGTGTTTCACTCAAACTTACTGTTACTGAACAAGGCTATTCACAGACTCAGCGAGAGGCATTAGCTGTAGAATTTATTTCGCCGGCGGCTGTCCTAATCGCGTCCAATAGAAACACACCGGTACGATACTCCTAGATCCAGGTCCCAGCCAATTCAAAAGGCCAAAAATTCTAGGAGAAAACGTCTCTATATTGTTATAAAATGGAAATACAGAGGCTTACGATGTTTTTGTTTCTTCCAGGACTAAATTACTCCGTAGAGTATCTATTACAATAGCTAGTAAGTGACACTAAGTCCAGCAGCCACCGCGTCTATCCAAAAATGTGGCGGTAGCCATATTATATCAAATTTAAACAATATATGTACAGTTCAAAAGCAAACACAAGAACTTCAATATAAGTACAAAATATGGAAAGAATAACAACCTACAATGGTAAAATCTCAAATTGGAATCAAATAAAATACCAAAAATGTCAAGAGAAAAAGTCCATCAGGTCATAGCAAAAATATGTAAACATGGAGGGATTTTCCCAAAAACAAAACATTCAAAAAGAATTCTACATTAGCTGTGTTTTGGGCTGTTAAAAGATTTCATAAATATTTATTCGGAAAGAAATTTACTATTGTTACTGATCATGAGGCTTTGCAGTTTATTTATCATCCCGAAAAATCCTTAGCACGTGCCTCAGCTGCTATGGTTCAACGATGGAGTATTGCTTTGAGTGCCTACGACTATACGGTTCAGCACAGGAGTGCCAAACAAATTCAACATGTTGACTACATTTCTCGACAGTCATTACAAGATAAACCTGTTAATACTTCAGACTGTTTATTGGTGCAACCTTTACCAGTGAAACGTCCAGATCTCATTAGAGAAACTCGTAGAAACTTTGGATGTATAATTAATGCTATACGGAAAGGTTGGAATGCTAATCTGAAACGCAGATTCCCTATCTATTTTTCAAAGCGGGATGAGCTATCCACTACTCCTGATGGTATTTTGTGTTTGAATGATCGGGTTGTTATTCCTCCTTCATTGCGTAAAGCTGTCCTGGAAGATCTTCATAGTGGACATTTAGGTGTTGAGAAAATGAAGTCCTTGGCGAGGCTCACGTGTTGGTGGCCAGAGATAAATGCAGATATTTGTCGTACAGCAAACAATTGTGTAAATTGTCATAAGCTGAAAAATCAGCATTCGAAGTGGACTCCATGGCCAGTATCGTCGGAGGCCTGGCAGAGAATTCATGCAGACTATTGTGGCCCGTTTCTTGGCAAATACTATGCACTTGTAGTCATTGATTCTTTTTCAAAGTGGCCTGTAGTTTTTTCACAACTTCACCAAATTCTTACTTCACAATTCAAGCATTAAGAAATTTGTTTAGTCGAGAAGGGGTTTCAATTGTAGAATTTATTTCGCCGGCGGCTGTCCTAATCGCGTCCAATAGAAACACACCGGTACGATACTCCTAGATCCAGGTCCCAGCCAATTCAAAAGGCCAAAAATTCTAGGAGAAAACGTCTCTATATTGTTATAAAATGGAAATACAGAGGCTTACGATGTTTTTGTTTCTTCCAGGACTAAATTACTCCGTAGAGTATCTATTACAATAGCTAGTAAGTGACACTAAGTCCAGCAGCCACCGCGTCTATCCAAAAATGTGGCGGTAGCCATATTATATCGAATTTAAACAATATATGT